TTCTTTATTTCTTAAGACAATAATGTTCTTAAAAAATCTTATTCATAAAATAATTCTGCATTAATTCAATGTGTATAGTTAATATTGATATTAAGTGAAAACTGCATCTATGAATCAAAAATTAAAAGTCGTTGAACCCCAACATTTTTTTTTTCATTTTTTTTTATGTATACGTAACGTGCCCCTGTTTGAAAGTATGGTCGATCATAATCGGCGTAATCAGAAAATAAGAGCGATGCCTATATTAAATTTAAAATTAGCGTTCTTAAAATTAGATTTCGGAGAACGTTTTCCAACATTTTTAAGATTACTGAGTACTTAAAAATTACATAAAAAAGGCGGTCACTCGTCATTTTCTTAAATTATGTTTTAACAAATAAAGTCACCATACAACAATAATGAACCTGTCAACACCCCGTTGAGGGATTTACGAAGTGTTGATAAGCACTTAATCTCGCTACTGTTTGTTTCAAAAATCCATTTCTCTGTTATTTTAAACTTCAAGTAATATTTTTTCCAAATTGGTTTAATTAAATCAGCTAATATTTCTAAAATAAAGTTTCACAAGTATATATTTTATTTTCGAGAGATTTTTAAAACTCATTTATTTTGAATGTTAGGCATCGATATTTATACGGAAATAGTGGAGGTACCTAATCTAAAGTGAATGTTAAAGTCCTTAATCTTTAAGAAGGAGTGGATAATTCTTTTCCTTTTGCCTTTTTGACGGATTTAAACCAGTCATCATTGGCCTCTTCAAATTTTCAAAAGGAAAGCATAACAGATTCTTCATAAATCCATTTGAATGAAAACTCTACCGCTTAAACAGACGACGTAATGGATTAAAAGAAATACTTTTTTTCAGAAGACGTCTTTATTATTTTCAAATTTCATAACTAAGTTTTCCTTATTAAAATTTAAAGCGCGCCTCAGAGTTTTATTTATTCTACAAGAGCGTTAAAAATGGTTGAGAAACATTGGTACGAGACATTAAGGGGAATAGTAATTGCGAATTCGGGCCGGGTAAGAAAAACTCAAAATGAATGAAAACAGGACGAGCAAGAAGTGACTAGTACAAGACTAGATATCTCAAGACATGGAAAGCGAAGTAAAAACAATCTACCCCCCCCTAGATATAAAGGGTTCAGTTCGGAATTTGTTAGAGGTTACAGGGATCGACAGGTAGCGGAAGAAGGCTGATGAAGAAAGCTGAAGCGTTGGGATAACAACAACAAAGATAAGGATATTAGTCCGACTATAAGTAATGTAAATAGAAACATCTGTATTCCTGTAATGAACTCTCAGAATGTATTATCCAAAGTCCAGGCTTAGTTGTTAGAGCATAGAAATTAAGCGAAAACTGAATTTAGATAAGAAAAAGAAAGTCCACATTTAAAAATCCAGAAACCTAATTAAAAACAAAACTCGCCTTGTTTCTTGCAGCAAAAAGATTTATCTTGGAATTAGATACAAACAAACAAACAAACAAACCATTCTAGGTATTTAAATACCATCCCACTTTGATTGTATGTGGTACATGGACATTTTTTACTGTGAGACCCCCACGCGTACGTAGGGAGAAGAACAATGTTCTATTTCCGTGAAGACAGACCCCTTGAAAGTAAACATATACATGGCTCAATGTGAAAAAGAAAAAAAAAACAATTATGACATTTGCAAAATACCATCTTAAATGACATCATCAATCAATGTAATGGATACAAAAAAAAAAGTCTTTTATGTAAAATAAAAAAAGCATTTTTTTAATCAGAGGATTTATACGAACGCCCACTTCCCTGGCTTCTGCTCAGATAGTTTCAAGATAACATTAAGATCAAACCTCAGGGAGCCATCCACCCCACCAAACAGTACCTCTCTTTCGAGAGGGGACTGGGATCATGACCCGGTGCCTGAGGCGTCCCCAAAAGGGGAAGTGCCGAAGGGGGACTTAGTTTTTCCCCGTTAATGCCGTTAAACCCACTTTAAATCTCGACCTTGTGTTACATTCGGTAGCGACGTGGGGGCGCTAAAAAATCCATTATACGAAGGACTCACTCGAACGGAATACGGCATAAGGCCAATTTTAAAGTGAGTGTTTCACGTGTACATGAGATCAGAGCTCCAAAATCGTTAGATTTTTTTTTTTTTAAATAACCAAAATAAAATTTATAGACTATGATGCAAAAAGAATTTCTGGGGTGTGGAGGTATCATTATTTACACTATTTACATTCGGACTATTGTCCTCATCTTTGTTGTTTTTATCAGAACGTTTCGGCTGTTGTGTTCACTGAAAGACCGGAAGACACAGCGACAGGAACGCTGTGATGAAAACAACAAAGATGCAGACAATAGGTAGAATGTAAATAGTGTAAATAATTATAATACAGGATTTAATGAATTCTGTTTTGTATCGGGGCCAATGGGAAATTGATTACGAATGAAATGATTTTCAAGTCATTTTAAATGGAATAATGAAAAAAATTCCCAGTTCAAACAATATTTTGAATCTTAATCTCCGCTGTCCAGCCCCGACAGAGTTTAAAAGCCCTTACGCGGCCTTGAGGGTGATGAATTATTTTCCACCCTACCATCTTTATCGTAAATACAAAACGTCGCCAGACTTAATAAAATTCTCCATTCCTTTCCTCACGAGGCCCAGTGCTCCGATTACTATCGGTACAGTCTCAGTCTTCATTCCCCACATCCTGTTAATCTCGATATTCTGGTCCTTGTATTTGGACAATTTCTCGATATTATTGTTATTATTACTTGTGTATGTTATTGTTGAAACTTGAATAAAGCATGGAATAATAATAATACAACACAAAATGTACTTAAACAAAATGTATTGACACAAGAACGTGTACACAATATTTACAGCTAGTTTGGTATATTCTTGGGAAGACCGTTCCTGTAGAATGGATTGACTTAGTCGCAGTCGGGCAGAGTCTCTGGATTGCATCTCTTCTTCCTCCCCCGTCTTCCCGGTACCAACCATATTTATATGGACGGTACTCCACTATGTAAATTAGGTGGATCGTACCACAACAGTTATGTTTCCTGTTTTGTACCCTGTATAACCGGGTTCAAACTAGGGTCCTTAGGCCCTATAGGAGAATTGTCATTTAATTGATAGCACTTTTCTTATTATATGGGATGTTCCTAGTAGAACGATTTTTGGGGCAACTTGTATGTTACTGTTATCTGGGACACTGTTAATAAAATTGTCCATTCCTTTTCTCACGTTAATTGGTTCTGTTGTAATACTTCGGTCTATCGCGTGGTATGGCGTCATAGAACCGCATCTTGAACTTACGATCTGCGTCTGCTATTTGGCGACCATTAACGTCGCATAGCATTCTTCTCTGTCAAAATAACAAAATATCATCTTTGACGGTAGATATCTTTGTTTCATGTCTGTATAAACATTTCAAACAGCGTCTTCCCCAGAACTGTTATTTTGCTGAATAAACTCCCGAGAGAATGCTTCCCTGACAACAACAATCTTTGTCTCTTTTAAGTCCAGGGGTCAACCGATATCTATCCTACTCGCCTTCATAATACTCTCTTTCTTCCCACTTCTTTACAATCTCACGCAGTACCCCTCTATTTTGAGTGGCTCTAGCGTCTTGTATAGATTGAACTATCAATAAAAAAAATCACTACGGAATGCCTTGTCGGTATATAACAGTTATGTGCCATGCGTGATACATGCTTAGGCGATCATGTATCTGCCTCGTCAGTCATGTATCCACATGACTGACGATACAGATACATGATCGCCTAATAGGTATCAATTAGGCAGATACATAATCACCTAATTGATGTCTTTTATTCTCCAATCTTATAACTAATATAAACATTAATCCTTACAAAAATGACTTCCTCGAAATTTCATAAAATTCAGTAGGCAGTGGGGACAACAGATGTAAAAAAAAATTCAAGATTTTCTAAAAAGGAAGCATTTCTCAAATAATTTCATTTATTTGTGAATAAGTCCTGAAAGATTCATTAAAATCCTCCAATTACACGGTATTTACAAGATGTTTTTCACTGTAAAAAGATGCTAAAATTTCCTATCAGTCATTTATGTGCCATGCGTGATACACGTTTAGGCGATCATGTATCTTTCCCGCAGTAGGTTGCCATTTCTTTCTGCCGTAGATCAGTTGCCATCCAAGGCTATACAACCTTTTCTGTCCTCTGTTTACATTATTCGGACTATTGTCCACATCTTTGTTACCATATTTATCACATTTCGGCCGTTGTACGCTCCAACCTTCTTCAGGTGGTTGGAATGTCGAACTGAACCCTTTATTTCGCTCCCTGGGGTAGACTGTTCTAGTTCCACGTGCCATGTCTAATGGATGTCAGTTATCAGTTATCTTCCTGTTAATTCCCTTCTCCAAGTTCTCCAGCGTCTTAGCCAGGTATTGAACTCACAACTCTTTGGGACCTGTCACTGGATCTAAGGAGCGAATGGTGACGAATAAATTCTTATGGTGAACGAGTATATTGTAAGGAATGAATGGGTCGTGAATCCGATTAGCTAGATGTAGAATAGCTGGTGATGACCAACCTTGACCAGTCTCCACTCTTTTTTTCGGCCTTGTGCCACAATTACTGTATCAGTAATAAATCTTGGACTTATAATATTTTGTAGATTTATATAATTTTATACTTGAAAATTTCTAAAATATAATTTGAAGAAGACAGACATATTGTCGAAATGTCGTTTAACATTTCAAACACTGGCTGTTTTTGTTTTTTTTTTTCTATTCTTAAATCGCTCTCTTAAGTGTTGAAAAATATTGGAAGAATTACGTCAATTATCGTGTTTATTATTATTATTATTATTTTCTTCTACTTCTTCTTCTTTATATTATTATTATTATTTTCTTCTTCTTTATATTATTATTATTATTATTATGATTTTCTTCTGCTCTTGAAACAGACGTAAAGAAGAATTTTTGTTGGCAGTCGCTTCATTAGCAAACAATGGGCCGATGTGTTTCCGCTCGACCTACAAACGAAGAAAACATATGTTCACATCTCCGTAGATTTCGGGGACACTTGCGCCAACAACAAATTCCCGAATACGAAAGGAAATGGAAGACGAAGCGAAAGGCTTCATATTTTCTGCTGAGTATTAATGTTATGTAATTTTATTAGTCTGCTTAGGCTTTCACAATAAAGTAGAATTTACAACGACCTGTTCCCCTCTATCACTTTCTAATTTTCTCTTCCCCCCTTCTTCTTTCTCTCCTTCTCTCCTCCTCCTCTCCCTCCTTCTCTCTCTCCTTCTCCTTCTCACTTCCACTCTGCTTCTATCTCCTTCTCTCTCCCACTCTGCTTCTCTCTCTCCCACTCTCCTTCTCCTTCTCTCTCTCCCACGCTCCTTCTCCTCTCTCTCTCTTTCTCTTCTTCTCATTCTTCCTCCCACTCCCCTTCTCTCTTTCCTTCTCTCTCTTTCTCCTATCTCTCTTTCTCCTCTCTCTCTCTCCTTCTCATTCACTTTCTCCCTCTCTCCTGCCCCTTCTCTCTCTCCCCTCTCCTTCTCCTCTCTCTCCCTCTCTCTTTAACTCTCTCTTTCTCATTCTCTCTCTCGTTATATATGCGTATGAAATTCTAGGTATTGAAATATTAACGTACACTTGACAAGATAAGAAAATAGACGCACACAAAAACACATACACATACACACATATTATTATACACAACCTGATGTTGCCTAAATAATTCGTTTTAAGTTCAATTCTGGCAGAGATTGATATAAAATTAACAAAGATGACCCTTTAATCATTAGAAATGAGCAAAATATTTTTGTGCCGCTATTATAATAATATATGGTATTTACTCGTTCCCCCACTAGAACGAGATGTGACACAAGGTCGGTTTAATGTGGGGAACCCGAGCGCGTACACCCGGGCAGGGACAAAAATTCCCAAGGATGGGGAGCACGTCGATATTAGAACATAAGAGATTTAATCTAAAACTGGACATTACTTTCGGAACAACAATATATATATTTGGCTCATGTAGGGATCCATGGGAGGAAAATTCACGAAAAGTCCCATTAGGAGTCATGTGCCGGGATATCAGATTGAATACAAATATTACCATCAACAGGAGGGCTTAATTCATACCGATGTCAGAAACTATCTCTGAAGCAATCTCCTCTCTGTAGGCAAGAGATAATATATAATATCAATCAGGAAAACATTGGACAAAGAAATATCTAAAATAAATTTGTTTGTCTGCAGGGTGATATAGATTGTAAAGGCCTTTCTGGTTTTAAGTTATGACAGATTTTGAGAGAATAGCGGCCGTAAATTCGTTGTTAGTGTAGAGAGAAGGTTAACTTTGTAATCGAGTGACAAGCCGCCATACATAGGATGGGGAATCTACTTTTGCCGCTACCCTTTTTGAGCAGTATACTTTATGTAATCACTGTATATACCCCAAAAGGAATACTTGAGGAAAACACTGGAAAGTAGACGTTAGTGGGAAATATATATTTTACATACTAAAAGCCAAATGTTTCTCACATTAAGTGACACCACACACACACACACACACACACACACACACACACACACACATATATATATATATATATATATATATATATATATATATATGGAGAGAGAGAGAGAGAAATAAAATTAAATTTCACTTATCTTATTCCTAGTCAGAGTTTCGCAGAAATTACATCCAATAGTCAGGGGACTTGATTGCAAAAACTTAAAGTCTAAAAGTTAAATTTTTTGTCGTAACAAATTTTCTGTTATATATATAGAAATAAATTCAACCACAATTTTGATTTTAAAAATGCTGCACTCATAAAAAAAGAAAATAACTCACTCAGAAGGAAAATTCTAGAGAGTGCCGCCATTGAATATTACCCAAATATTAATCTACGCTCAGGCTTTTCCCCTATTTCACCTTTCTTAACAAAATTACTCCTCTCCCAAACAAACGTACACAACAATATCGTAAAATCAAAAGAAAATGGTTGAATCCGTCAACACAGCAATAATAACAATATCTCCACACGTGACAGTAACTGACGTAGTTAACAGTATGAAAATAGCGGCCTCTAAATTCTTCCAGTTGCCAAGGACATTTTGTTTTTGTTATTATTAGTTACTTTGTTTAAATAAATTAATTCGTTTTTTTTTTTTTGCTTTGAGAAAGTCTACATTGGACGAAACGTGTCAGCAACTACTACAGTTTTCCTATTGTCATTTTGTTGAAACTTGACTAATGCATGGAATAATAATGCAACACAAAATGTACTTAGAACAGAACGTATTGAAACAAGAAAGGGTACACAATATTTACATATAGTCTTTTGTATATTCCTGGTAAGACCGTTCCTGGAGAATGTGTTGACTGAGTCGGGCAGAGTCTCTGGTTGAATCTCTTGATTCCTCCCTCTCTTCCCGGTACCAACCATATTTATATGGTCGGTACTCCACTATGCAATTTAGGTGGA